CGTGGCTCGGCTCTCTGAAAGGAGCCGAATCTTTGGTTCCTGACTCGTTATCATCTGTTACGTCTTATTTTAGTGCAACTTGGCAAATATGAATGTTTTTATGTTAAAAGATCCTTTGCATTCAGACTTTATGAAAAGCTCTAAACTTATTAATTAATGCATTTTATTGTTACAGAAGAAAACTTTCTGATATTTGTGTCATATTTCAATCAAACTTTAGTTTTGAGAACAACATGAGGGAGGTCTGGGAAGGTGTGAGGACCATCACTGGCCTCAACACAAAGACCAGTCATTGGGGGAACAATGGAGAGGGCAAACCAACTGAACAACTTCTTCAACAGGTTCAACCAGTCTGTGCCCCCCTAAACCCTTCTCTCACTGCAGCCACCTCTGCTCCTTACTACACACCTCAGCACATGTCAGCACATGTATGTCAGGCTGAAGGACACCGTGTCTGACACTGTGGTCAGCAGCACAGGAGCCCCTCAGGGCACAGTGCTGGCCCCTCTTCTCTTCACCCTGTACTCCTCTGACTTCCACTACAACTCGGAGCTGTGTCACATACAGAAGTATGCTGATGACACAGCCATAGTCGGATGTATCAGGGATGACAGAGAGGAGGAATATCGCTGTCTGGTGAGGGACTTTGCTCTCTGGTGCCACACAAACCACCTGGAACTCAACACCTCTAAGACGAAGGAGCTGGTTATAGACTTTGGGAGGTCCAGACCAATGCCGAGACCAGTCGTACTAGAGGGAACAGAGGTTGAGGTCTTGGGCTCCTACAAGTACCTCGGGCTGTGGCTGGACAGTAAACTGGATTGGTCAAAACACACCAGCCACCTGTACGGGAAGGTGCAGAGCAGGATGTACTTCCTGAGGAGACTGCGGTCCTTTAACATCTGCAGCAAACTGCTGTGGATGTTCTACCAGTCAGTGATCGCCAGTGTCCTCTTCTACACCGTGGTGTACTGGGGAGGCAGCACATCCAAGAAGGACACGTCCAGACTGGACAAACTGATCAGGCGTGCCGGCTCTGTGGTCGGCATGAAGTTGGACTCTCTGGTGACGGTGGCAGAGGCGAGGACACTGAACAAACTGCTGGACATCATGGACGATAGCAGCCACTCTCTACACGCCGTCATCAGCAGCCAGAGGAGCCTGTTCAGTGACAGACTGCTGCTTCCCAAGTGCCGGACCAATAGATTCAAGAACTCCTTTGTCCCCCACGCCTTCAGACTGTACAACTCCTCACTGGGGGGTGGGAGGTGACACAGGACAGAGGGAAGAAGGAGTAGTGACCCCTCGTACTTTGCGTATGCTCACTATGTGCCACTTTTCTGCCTGTGAGCTGCTGGTAACTTTAATTTCCTGAGGGAGTCTTCCCAAGGGATCAATAAAGTACAAGTCTAAGTCTAGTTTTTATTCAACACAAACAAATGACCAAAACATGAACAAATGGAGCAGAAGAACCAGAACAGAACCAGAACCGGTCTCAGTAAAGTCGTAACTCCAAAGTGACTCACTGGAGCGGCTTTCTGTTGACGGGCTCTATTATTAAACGCCATGAAAACTACAGAAATAAAAACAGCTTAGACATAGACACGCTTAGAGAAAACAGGTGACAAGAGTGTTTCGGAGGGCAAATTAATTATCTCAACTCAACCGTCCTCTCTAAATTAAAATACAGGAGTAATTAAAACACTATAATCGATAAATTTACAAAAAATTGCAAACATAATTGGAAAATACCTGATAACCACGAGGCTGCTACCTGTAGCTTTATTCAGGCTTCTGCTCCTTTTTCTTTTTTTTTTTCCTTTAAGTCTCGCAGTCTCTCGTACATGAAATCTCGCGACAACTCCAAACATTTCGACACGATATTCCACACAACTCTCGAACTTGAGCCAAACTTAAAATACATCATCCTAATTATCAGAAATACAAGAATCTTTTTCAAAACATAAATTATTTCACTAACACTTACATTCCCACCAAAAATCACTTATTGGTTCTAAATGTGATTTTCCAAAGAGTGTCAAAAGTAGAAATTGTTTATAAATGTATAGATTTTCTGTTTGATATTCAAGTTTCTCAGATTATAAATTGTTCAGATTTTGATCTAAAAATGTTTATTCCTCTTTAGTTGTGACCTTGTTGGTGTTCTGCACAGTGGATGAAGGTTCGTTATATTAATGTCACCTTGAAACGTTACAGAATGCAGAACTAAATGTTTCAGAAAGAAATGAAACAAATTAAACCATTAAATACAATACTTTAATTTCACTTACACTTTATTCAACAGTTTTAAAAACTGATATGATTATTTTATTTTCCAGTTCTTCCAGTTCATCTGACTGTGAGTCCCAGCAGATCCCAGTTCTTTAAGGATGAATCAGTGACTTGATCTGTGAGGATGAAAAACAGATCATCTGGATGGACAGTGAGGAGAAACACCAGCAGAGGAACCAGGACTCAATGTGGAGATAAATGGGGAGAAGCTGATGGTTCTACCTGTAACATGACCTTCATGCATCCATCTGATACTGGTCTGTACTGGGGTGAGTCCATCTCATGATGTTTACAGCTGATAATGAAGCTGCTGATCAGGCAGTGAATGAAATACAGTTAGGGCCAGAAATATTTGGACAGTGACACAGGTTTTGTTATTTTAGCTGTTGACAAAAATATGTTCAGAAATACAATTTATATATAATATGGGCTGAAAGTGCACACTCCCAGCTGCAATATGAGAGTTTCCACATCCAAATCGGAGAAAGGGTTTAGGAATCATAGCTCTGTAATGCAGAGCCTCCTCTTTTTCAAGGGACCAAAAGTAATTGGACAATGGACTCCAAAGGCTGCAAGTAACTCAAAAGGCCTTTCCCTCGTTAACCTGTAATCAAGTAAGTAGTTAAAAGGTCTGGGGTTGTTTCCAGGTGTGTGGTTTTGCATTTGGAAGCTGTTGCTGTGACCAGACAACATGCGGTCAAAGGAGCTCTCAATTGAGGTGAAGCAGAACATCCTGAGGCTGAAAAAAAGGAAAAAATCCATCATTGAGATAGCAGACATGCTTGGAGTAGCAAAATCAACAGTCGGGTACATTCTGAGGAAAAAGGAATTGACTGGTGAGCTTGGGAACTCAAAAAGGCCTGGGCGTCCACGGAAGACAACGGTGGTGGATGATCGCCGCATACTTTCTTTGGTGAAGAAGAACCCATTCAAAACATCTACTGAGGTCCAGAACACTCTCAGAGAAGTAGGTGTATCTGTCTCTAAGTCAACAGTAAAGAGAAGACTCCATGAAAGCAAATACAAAGGGTTCACATGTAGATGCAAACCATTCATCAATTCCAAAAATAGACAGGCCAGAGTTAAATTTGCCCAAAACCACCTCAAGAAGCCAGCCCAGTTCTGGAAAAGTATTCTATGGACAGATGAGACAAAGATCAACCTGTACCAGAATGATGGGAAGAAAAAAGTTTGGAGAAAAAAGGGAAACGGCACATGATCCAAGGCACACCACATCCTCTGTAAAACATGGTGGAGGCAACGTGATGGCATGGGCATGCATGGCTTTCAATGGCACTGGGTCCCTTGTGTTTATTGATGACATAACAGCAGACAAGAGTAGCCGGATGAATCTGAAGTGTACCGGGATATACTGTCAGCCCAGATTCAGCCAAATGCTGCAAAGTTGATCGGACGGCGCTTCACAGTACAGATGGATAATGACCCCAAGCATACAGCCAAAGCTACCCTGGAGTTCATGAGAGCAAAAAGGTGGAATATTCTGCAATGGCCAAGTCAATCACCAGATCTTAACCCAATTGAGCATGCATTTCACTTGCTCAAATCCAGACTTCAGACGGAAAGACCCACTAACAAGCAAGACCTGAAGGCTGCGGCTGTAAAGGCCTGGCAAAGCATTAAGAAGGAGGAAACCCAGCGTTTGGTGATGTCCATGGGTTCCAGACTTAAGGCAGTGATTGCCTCCAAAGGATTCGCAACAAAATATTGAGAAAAAACTTTTTTGTTTGGGTTATGTTTAAATGTCCAATTACTTTTGAGCTCCTAAAATGTGGAGTGTTTGTAAACAAATGTGTACAATTCCTACATTTTCTATCACATATTTTTGTTCAACCCTTTAAATTAAACGTTACAATCTGCACTTGAATTTTGTTGTAGAGGTTTCATTTCAAATCCAATGCGGTGGCATGCAGAGCCCAACTCACAAATATTGTTACTGTCCAAATATTTCTGGCCCCAACTGTATATAAAGAATCATATAGTTTTAAAGGTTTTTGTTTTTTTTTTTTTAATATTTTATTTAAAATCATTTTCAGTGAAAGTGAAACCCTGACAGGAATCACCTTGTTTTTTATGCTTCATAAAAATATATTTGTGAAGAAATAAACATGAATAAAAAGCATGTTAAAGCGTCGTGTGGCAGTTCAAGGTTTTCAGGATTCAGACATTTATTTCCAAACTGCTGCTGGTTTGTTGGACCTTTAATGTCCATCAGGAGTTTCATTCATACATTTGAACTGAAAACATTCAAAAGTTCATTTAATGTTGATCAGATGGTATAAACGTTTATAAAGACTGAAAGCTTCTCTTTCCTCTCCTGTAGTTCAGTTTATGATACATGAAGTTTTATTCAGGATGTGAGAATCCGGTCCAGAACCGGTCCAGAACCAGCAGCCTGGTGATCCGTTTAACTTCAGCTTCTTTCCCACTTTCCTCAAAACGAATAAAACTCGTGTCAAACTGAAACATTTGAAGATATTGAAGAAATTCATCATTTCTGCAAAGAAGAAGCATTTCTCCATCATAACGACTGATTTAAAGGACGGTAAGTTTATGATTTATGTTTTTAATAGACAGGATTGATGTGAATCTTTGAGCTGAACATCATCTGAACTGTTGGTTGACCTGCTGACCTCTGGTGATTCAACAATCTGCATTTATTTTATTACAATAAAGATCTGTGAAGTGCACAATTCAGAGACTGAGGTCCAGACAAAAGTCAGGGAGCAAAAACAATCTTTAATACATCTGCAGACGGAGAGCAAGAAATCCACTGCATTAGGCACAAATTAGGATCCGCTCTGAGGAACCCAGAGTTGCATAGTTACTTTATTCATCTCTCTTTACTACTGAGGCAGAGACTCAATCTTCCAAGACCAAACCAAAGAGACAAAGGAAAACATACGAAACCTTGTATGTTTATTCACTGTAATGTTTACGGGAGGTGAAAACTAAACACTCTATCTCCATGCAGGGAAGGCCACGGGAAAAACAGCAAGTTCCCAATAACTGTCTGGGGAAGTTCAGCAACCCTGGAAACTTACTGCAGTAGACACATCTTGGTTCATTAGTTTGTACACCGTTTGTAGCTGCACAGAAAAACACCTTGATACAAAAACATTACATTTATATGACACATAAAGGAACATCATTTAATACGAATAAAACCTTCACAGATCCAAACTGTGAATTTATCAGTTATTGTTTGACTCCATAAGATGAACATGAAATGAAATGTTACTAATGACATGAAAACTCAGAGTCAGACTGAAGCAGCTTGAAGTAACAGCAACAGGATCAGACACTGAACCAGTGAAACCAGTGAAACCAGTGAAAACCAGTGAAACAACGTTTTGGTTAAACTGGAGAAATGCTGCAATAAATAGCAGAAATATAATAAATGAAATGATTCAGATGCTTCAGGAGGAACATTTCACACAAACTGTTGAGTTTCTGATTACATATAATCCACATACAGTCATATTTAATAAATGTGCAGATGAAGTTTGTTTATCAGATTAAAAGGAAATTTTGAAAATTCACATTTCTGCATTAAAAAGTTATTTATTGGTCAGATTAATATTCATCTTCAACGTTTCATCTGTTTTACTTTAAATTGATTTAAATGAACGTTTCAATAATATTCCAACTTATTGAATATTGGAACAAGTTTCTAGTTTTAGTTTCTCACTGAGATCCTGAAAAAATACAAGAAAAACATTTTAAATCCAGATAAAACGTCACAAACATCAGCAGATCTGACACCGAAGGTTTGGACGGGTTCTGAAATGGTTCTGTAACGGTTCTTTAACGGTTCTGTAAGGGTTCTTGCAGTGGTTCTGTAACGGCCCGGTTCGGTTCTGGTGAAGGACAGAACCAGCTGGTACCAGTTTGGGTTTCCTCTGTTGGTGCCGATCCAAACAGTCAGTCTGTGGTTCTGGATGAAGGTTCTGGATCCATCATCCTTCAGATCAGACTGGACTCACTGTTGGTTCTGATCCGTTAAAGGCTGCTCAGCTGCAGGTGGTTCTCCAGAACTCTGGCTTGACTTTGGACTCGAACATGAAGATTTTTTACGCCTCAAATAGACAAAAATAGCAGCAACAACAACACCTAAAGCTACCAACAGACCAACCACCAGCCAATCAGGTCCGTCTCTGTTCCGTCCATCAGCTCCACCTGCAGAACAGAACCAGAACAGAACCAGGTGTTATTGTGATGTTCAGGTAGAAATGGCTGCAGGTCATCATGTGACCTCAAACATGGTTAGAAACTTCGTTATAAATGTTTCTAACGATGTAAAAACTGGACTTCCTGTTTCAATACGTCACCATGGCAACACAGTCCTGGTACAACCTGCAGCTTTTCTGACTGTCAGCCTGAAGATTGACTCCATTTATTTTATTCAAATTTATCATGCAGAAAAATGAAAGGTTATCATCAATAAGGTTCATTATTTCAACATGTTGTTTTTCTGATAAAGTTGATAAAATCTAGAATGATTTGCTATTATCATGTTCAACAATCAATATTCATTGATCAGGCAGCAGGGCATCTATTAATAAATGGGATCAATAATAGCCATTGATCAGGCAGCAGGGCATCTATTAATAAATGGGATCAATAATAGCCATTGATCAGGCAGCAGGGCATCTATTAATAAATGGGATCAATAATAGCCATTGATCAGGCAGCAGAGCATCTATTAATAAATGGGATCAATAATAGTCATTGATCAGGCAGCAGGGCATCTATTAATAAATGGGATCAATAATAGCCATTGATCAGGCAGCAGGGCATCTATTAATAAATGGGATCAATAATAGCCATTGATCAGGCAGCAGGGCATCTATTAATAAATGGGATCAATAATAGCCATTGATCAGGCAGCAGGGCATCTGTTAATAAATGGGATCAATAATAGTCATTGATCAGGCAGCAGGGCATCTATTAATAAATGGGATCAATAATAGCCATTGATCAGGCAGCAGGGCATCTATTAATAAATGGGATCAATAATAGCCATTGATAAGGCAGCAGGACATCTATTAATAAATGGGATCAATAATAGTCATTGATCAGGCAGCAGGGCATCTGTTAATAAATGGGATCAATAATAATGGATTAAATTGGTGAACTCTGTAACAGGAAGAGAGAAAATGGCTGAAAGAGGAGAAATTAGCTCTGAGGCTAAATAAAAACCAGCAGGTTCAACGACTGACTGCAGGTTACATGCAGCTGGACTGAAAGCTGGGAAACAAGATGGCGGACGGCGCCGCCTGGTGACATCATCTATGAAAACTGGCGTGGGGTTAAACAGAGGTCAACGGACGCAGCTAAAGGTCATGCTGCCGTTAGCGTTAGCATCCAGGAGACGCAGCCTTGAGAGTCTCTTGGTGAAAAGTTTTCACCTGTTCAGGAATGAAAGAGTCGATGTTTCTGTTTATGACGCCGTCGATTCATTGAGGGACGTTGAGGAACCTGCTGCAGCGCCACCTTCAGGCAGACAGAGGAGAGACGCAGCAGTGGGGGAGACGTCAGTAATCTGATTACTGGTCTCTGCTGGTCCTGTGGTCCAGTACAGCTGGGAGTTTGTCTGCTGAAGGAGGACCGCCCACTTTATTGGGTTTGGTTTTGTCTGTCATGGCCGCCTCTCTGTTGACCTCAGTCACATGACCTCATGTCCAGGTCACCTGACCTTGTGGAGGCCGCAGTGCTAGCTGAGCTGTTAGCATGCTAACGTTGCTTCCCTTTGGTGGGTCAGTCAGGTTAATGTCAGGGTCTCTGTTGTTGTTGGCTTAAGGGTCTCAGTGATGCATCCATACAGGACTGGAGTCACTGGATGATGGTCTTTGCTCACATCTGTTAGTTTAACAGATAGTAAAATAATTTAATATGTTGAGCAGAAAATATTTCAATGTCAGACTGAGTTGGGTGGATCTTCATGTTGGCTCTTTTAATGTAGCTCATGGATGTAACCAGGTGATGTATTAGTTGAAACAGTTTCATGAAGGCTGTAAATTCCCACCCATTTCAGGCCCTTGAATGCATCTACGCCCCGTTTCCCCTCATTCACATCCGGTTCACAGCATCATTGGGCTTGTTAGTGTATATCGGTACCGGGTGTTCCCGCCAAGCAACGAGTGTCAGGTCGGTTGTGTGCAGTTGGATCTCGGTTGGATGAGAGGGTTAGGGTTAGTTTGGATCACTCTGGGCAGTTTGGATCACCCTGGGCAGTTTGGATCACTCTGGGCAGTTTGGATCACTCTGGGCAGTTTGGATCACTCTGGGCAGTTTGGATCACCCTGGGCAGTTTGGATCACTTTGGGCAGTTTGGATCTCTCTGGGCAGTTTGGATCACTCTGGGCAGTTTGGATCTCTCTGGGCAGTTTGGATCACTCTGGGCAGTTTGGATCTCTCTGGGCAGTTTGGATCTCTCTGGGCAGTTTGGATCACCCTGGGCAGTTTTGGATCACCCTGGGCAGTTTGGATCACTCTGGGCAGTTTGGATCACTTTGGGCAGTTTGGATCTCTCTGGGCAGTTTGGATCTCTCTGGGCAGTTTGGATCACCCTGGGCAGTTTGGATCACCCTGGGCAGTTTGGATCACTCTGGGCAGTTTGGATCTCTCTGGGCAGTTTGGATCTCTCTGGGCAGTTTGGATCACTCTGGGCAGTTTGGATCACTCTGGGCAGTTTGGATCACTCTGGGCAGTTTGGATCACTCTGGGCAGTTTGGATCTCTCTGGGCAGTTTGGATCACTCTGGGCAGTTTGGATCACCCTGGGCAGTTTGGATCTCTCTGGGCAGTTTGGATCACTTTGGGCAGTTTGGATCTCTCTGGGCAGTTTGGATCTCTCTGGCAGTTTGGATCACTCTGGCAGTTTGGATCACTTTGGGCAGTTTGGATCACCCTGGGCAGTTTGGATCACTCTGGGCAGTTTGGATCACTCTGGGCAGTTTGGATCACTCTGGGCAGTTTGGATCTCTCTGGGCAGTTTGGATCTCTCTGGGCAGTTTGGATCACCCTGGGCAGTTTGGATCACTCTGGGCAGTTTGGATCACTCTGGGCAGTTGGGCAGTTGGGCGTGATCCAAACTGCCCAGGGTTTGGATCATGGATATTTGTGCTGCTGGTTGGATGAATGGATTTTGATGTCACCTGTCGCTGGTTCTGTGACGTCGGATCGCTTTTTATATTGTTGCTACTAGTTTGTCTGACATGATTTCTAATTGCTTTTCACTGCAGCGTCTGAATGAACCCGTTTGGTACCAGTTTTTCATTTGACCTTATATAGCTTTATTATTCTCGGCAGACACTTTCTTGCTGTTCTTTGGGTATTATGGATTGCTACTGTTGCATATTATGCTCTCACCACATTCTTAGATGCTCTTGGTTAGTTGACTAATAGTTCGTCCTCTGGAGCTGCAGTTGTAGCTACAGAACCATAGTTGAGATTTCTTTGTTTATTTTATGAATTAGCTCCTATAGAGAATCCAGATTAATCCTCCTATATAATGGCTGCACAGTGGAGCAGTGGGTAGCGCTGTTGCCTTGCAGCAAGACGGTCCTGAGTTCGATTCCCGGCCCGGGGTCTTTCTGCATGGAGTTTGCATGTTCTGCCTGTGCCTGATGTTTTTCTCTCCGGTTCTCCAGCTTCCTCCCACCAGGCACGTGCAGAGGGGGGGGCGAAGGGGGCTTGAACCTCTAGTGTTAAAGGAAGATTCGGCCCAGAAGATTTAAAGTTCACAAAATAAACACCAGAGAAAATACTGGAGCAATAATCAGAACCGCAGCATAAAGCCAAACATGCCACAATTAAATGTACCAAAATGTCCCCAAAATGTCTGGAGGCCCCTGAATGTCTGGATCCCCTGAAGGGCCCCTGCCAGCAGCTACTGAGTTTTCTTTGCCTTGATATCTCAGACTTATATTTGTAGGTCTCAGAGTAAATAGAGTGAAACGCCTTTGAGCTTTTTTTTATCTATAAATCATCTGCAGCCAAGATGTTCTAGAGGTTAAATTGTTATTATTAGATATTGTTAGGGCTTAATCAGTAAAATGGCAGCAAATTTCATAACTTCATAACCTTTGACCTTCTCTCCGATGGTCAGATTAACAGCTACAGTCTCAGATCTACTCATTCATCCCGCTTTGTCAGCAGCAGAAACAGCAACAATATACTAATATATAGACTATATTTGCTTTGCATTGTCACAGACAATGTATCAATACCATTGATACATTATGAACCAATTAGATTATTGATCAATGTGGGTTGTTGCTCTGTTGTTGTTCGGTGTTTTTGTTCAATGTCCCTTTTTTAAATTTGAGCCCCTGGCCCTCCAAAGGTCTCTGCACGGCCCTGCCTCCCACAGTCCAGAATATTTTGCATTGTTTCAAAAAGCTTCATGCAGCATTGAGGATTAAAAAGAATTTCTTAGGTGATTATTTTTACATCTTTCATGCTGCTGCTAATTCATATGTGCTGCTGAATTGGACAGAGCCTATTTGTGATGTATTGTGTCCAGAAATCGATTCCACTGCAGGACAAACAGACATCACAAAAATATGAGTAGCGCCATCATTTATTATCAGATTTATCAATTAAATGTGATTTAAAATAAACTGATACAAATCTATAAACATTTTGGTTTCTGTTAGTTCTCTCAAAATGCAAGAAAGGGCAAATTTATTTTATATTGGTCAATCATTTGATTTGAACTATAAATTAAACTACAAAATGAACAGTTGCATCATGGGTAATGTAGTGCTAAATGAACAGATGGACTTTTAACAACTACAACACTGGAATCAGTTACCATGGTGAAATATTTAAGTTAATATCTATTTCTGCAGCAGAAAGTCAGAATGTTTTCCAAGCAGAGAGTTTATCTCTCAGACGTCTCACTGCTGAAATCTGAACATCGACTCACCTGGAGGATGAAGAACATCCAGGTTGATGATGATGACGGTCTCCATCCAGCTGTTTGTCGGGACGATTCGACACTCGTATGCTCCTCTGTCATCAGTCGTCACGTTCCTCAGAACCAGAGACACGTTTCCGTCCTTCATCCATCTGTCCTGCAGATCCACTCGGTCCTTAAACATCACATGCTGGTTTTCTGTGTTAATCTTCTTATTTCTGTACAGAAGAACATATTCTGATCCCAGATCAGATCTGCTCCACTCTACGAATGCAACGGGTTTATGATCAGGAGATCTGCAGGGCAGAAATGTGTCCTGTCCAGCTTCAGCTGTGATGTTTGTCTGATCTGCAAGAGAGGAAACAGAGCAGAGGTTAAAGGTCATTTATTGACTTATCAAAGGAACCTAAAGAGTTTCTGCCTTTAACATCAGAACATTGATGCTACAAAGACCATAACATGAAGGTCTTCATTTATCCACACAGAGCAGAAAGGACTACATATCCCAGAATGCTGTGAGAGCGATAGCTGACAGGACCAGGAAGAAACTACTGAATTATTTTACTGTTGTAGACAAAACATGTTTTACATGAAGCAGCACTAGACTGTGATCAACACATTAAAATGATCAATAAAAAGCAGAAACACACTAGAAACAATCCCATGTTCAGCCTGTTGAATCTGTTTCTGCGCCCGTCCGCCAGGCGATGCGCATCAATACGTTTGGCGGCGCTGCCCGACGACGCACAAAAGATCTGGAGCCAATCAGCTGACAAAGCGAGGAGATATAGCTGATGGATTCACCTAGGGGGCGCAGTGGAGTTAAATTACATGTTAATCTTGTTGGGCTCTTTAGAGGTCAACAAAGGTCATACATATCCAGTTTGGCGCCAGTCGGATGATCCATGTGTGATTTAGAGTCGATCGTATGCAGATGGCGAGGGACTGCAGTTCATCATTTCTACACCCCAATGCAGTTCAGTCAGCAGCCAGAATTCACAGAGACCATCATCTTATCATTGTAAGTCAGTTTACACATAATGAAACCCATAAAAATGATAGAATATCAGTGAAACACAGCAGAAAAAACAGGTTACTGTCTGTTAAAAGTGGGAGGGGCTAAGATGATGTCATCAAGTGACCATGTAAATATCGTCAGGACTGTTCTGTAGAGAGATACAGGAAGTCTGGTGCAGCTGTGATCTTTGGAAGTTATTTAATGTTGATGTTTCATGGTGAATAGTAAAGGATCAGAACCAGAACCAGAACCAGACGGTCTGGGTCTCTATGGGTCTTAAGGCTTCAACAGGCTTTACTCAGACGGTTCTGCTGCTGGTATCACTGGATGGTCGAGTTTTGACTGAGCGGAACCGAACCGGTACCGTAATCAATAACCATGATCACCATGTGAACACGAGGACAGCATCACTGTAACTATCGCTGGACCTAAAAATCTTTCGATCTTAGTTTTTCCTCCAGAAACTCGCCTGCAGCCGCAGATGAGATGAAGATGATGATGATGAAGTTCAGGACTGAAAACAATGAAGTTTCTGGTCGAGGATCCATTTCCGGGTTCCGTAGTTTCATCTATTTCTCTGATCGCCACATTATATAGAAACACTAACACAGCAGCAGATTCACTTTAAACATTAAACCTGATTAGATTTGCTGATATTCGGCCAATAATCAATAAAATACCAAATATTCACAAACAGCGATGATCCACGAGCTGCGAGTGAAAACAGGAAGAAGGAGGAGCAGAAGACGATGAGAAGAACGTTCATCTGAGTGAACCGAGCCTCTCGGATCAGTGACCCGCTTCCGGATCCGTTCACCAGATCACTGGGTTCACTGGGTCAGAACAGCGCCTCCTCCAGGACAAGATAGGAACTGCTCTGTTCCTGCTGTGACATGTTGCAGCAGCGAGTCGCTCTGGTTCCTAGTTTATCTGACAGGCTGAAAATGCATTTAACTCAGTTAAAATAAAACGTCTGCATCATAAGAAGTGATATTTACTTTGCATTAAAGTCAATATTATTATGTATTATCTAGTTATATTGTGTCATTTATAGCACAATCAAGTCACTATGTTACCTTCTCTTCTGATCAATTATAACTTAAAATAGATTTAATTTAACTCCTAGAAATTGGGCCTCTGTCTCTTTAAGACCTCCTGCTCCCTCTGAAGCTCCGCCTTCAGGAAGTCGTCCCAACATGGCTCCTCCAAACTCTGCAGTTTGCATCAAATGCAGCATTTAGTTTGTAACTCGACTCCCTGATGTTCTGATCCGTGGATCAGCCTGGACAGATCCGGGCCCAGCATGAAAACATTTATACATTCAACATGACGGCTCTTATCATAGCGGCTAAGATTAGAGGTCAAGGGTCAATCCATGGTCGGTACAGAAAGACATTGTGATAAAGCAGCCAGTCATCTGAGACTGGAAACCAGTAAAACCAATCTCTGCTTTCCTGGACTCATCAGAACCAGAATAATGATAGAAACATGGATCCTGGTGCAGCTGCAGCTCAACAGTCTGAACTCTGACCCTTCATAGTAAATCCATCAATACAGCAACTCTGGAGGCCATTTGCACCAGAACCTCCAGCTAATGTTGAAAATACCAAACAGTTGATCTGTTCAGCCCAATAATCACCTGATCATCAATAGTGACCCCTCAGAACTGGGGTCACAATCAGACACTGTCTCTACAGCTGTAAGCTAACATCTGATCTACTGCAAAGGCATGAAAACGTCATTCGGTCTGGAGAAACGGTGCTGGATGGAGACAAACACAGAGCAGGTGATTCACTCAGAGGACAGCAGAGGACAGAAACTGAACTATGCAGGCAGATGGAGACACAAAGAGACAACAAGGACAGCAAAGAAACACCTGCAGCCAGTAAGGAAGGTCCACAACACAACATCAAGGTCAGCAATGCATTGTGGGTAATCAGATACCTTGAGATTCAGACATATCCTGTGGGTTTGGGACCCTGGATGTTGCAGTGCTAGCTGAGCTGTTAGCATGCTAACGGTGTTGTGATTAAAGCCTTGCTGAGGTTCATCTCTAATGTCAGGCTCTCCTTGACTCTCTGTCACTAAATCAGTCCTGGCTGGACTGACGGGGCCTTCAGGGCCACATGATGCATCAACACAAACATGATGAAACATCGACTCACCTGGAGGAGGAAGAACATGCAGGTTGATGATGATGATGGTCTCCATCCAGCTGTTTGTCGGGACGATTCGACACTCGTATGCTCCTCTGTCATCAGTCGCCACGTTCCTCAGAACCAGAGACACGTTTCCGTCCTTCATCCGTCTGTCCTGCAGATCCACTCGGTCCTTAAACATCACATGCTGGTTTTCTGTGTTAATCTTCCTATTTCTATACAGAAGAACATATTCTGATCCCAGATCAGGTCTAATCCACTCTACAGCAATAACAGGTTTATGATCAGGAGATCTGCAGGGCAGAAATGTGTCCTGTCCAGCTTCAGCTGTGATGTTTGTCTGATCTGCAAGAGAGGAAACACAGCAGAGGTTAAAGGTCATTTATTCACAAATAAATTCTGTATCATTGCAGGTTTCAGGGCGAGGGGCCCCAACATGCATTTGGGCTCAGGGAACAGAAAGATGTAGCCACGGCCCTGGAAGACGGGATCCATGAAAACCAGACAATCTTCGTCCTAAACAGACATAATTCAGATTCTGATCATGATCCAGATTAACGTCGTGTTTTGACCAAAACGTTTCCTGGTTCTGGAAACCAACGAACCGGATCATTGACTGAACAACGAGATCAGAAAACATTCTGTCAGAATCACTGAAATGAAATCATTCCTGCAGAAACTCGCCTGGAGAAATGGCTGAGATGTTGATCATCACCAAAGTCAATAGAAATGGAGAACAAGGTAAAGAATTCATTTCCTGGTTTCTCTGGCCGACAGTTTTATGTTCGCTGCTTCTTTACCAGAAAATGTCTTAAAATAACAGCAAAACACAACAAGTCCAGCTGGAAACACTAAACTTCACTGCATTTACTGTTTGCTGGGCTTAAATCACCAATATCTTCTGTTCCGATCAATAATCCATGTGAGTCTCCACAGAGTGCGGAAGTCCAGACTGAGGGAAGTTCGGCTCCTTTCAGAGAGCCGGCTCTCGTGGCTCGGCTCTCTGAAAGGAGCCGAATCTTTGGTTCCTGACTCGTTATCATCTGTTACGTCTTATTTTAGTGCAACTTGGCAAATATGAATGTTTTTATGTTAAAAGATCCTTTTGCATTCAGAGACTTTATGAAAAGCTCTAAACTTTACTAATTAATGCATTTTATTGTTACAGAGGAAAATATTCTGATATTTGTGTCATATTTCAATCAAACTTTAGTTTTTGAGAACAACATGAGGGAGGTCTGGGAAGGTGTGAGGACCATCACTGGCCTCAACACAAAGACCAGAGTCGTTGGGGGAACAATGGAGAGGGCAAACGACCTGAACAACTTCTTCAACAGGTTCAACCAGTCTGTGCCCTCCCAACCCCCTCTCTCACTGCAGCAACCTCTGCTCCTTACCACACACCTCCCCACAGACAACAAAACACTGACAACCCCCCCACACACCTCAGCACAACCTCCACCCCACATCACCACAGACCAGGTCAGAGAACAGCTGAGGAAGCTCAAGCCCAGGAAAGCAGCAGGGCCGGACCAGGTGTGTCCAAGGCTGCTGAAGACCTGCGCTGCTGAACTGGGAGAGCCACTACAGCGGATCTTCAACCTCAGCCTGCAGCTAAGGGAAGTGCCCACCCTCTGGAAGACATCCTGCATCGTCCCAGTGCCCAAGAAGAACAGGCCCAGCGAGCTGAATGACTTTCGGCCCGTGGCACTCACTTCACACCTGATGAAGACGTTGGAGCGGCTCTTCCTCGGCCTCCTCAGACCTCAGGTGGAACATGCTCAGGACCTCCTGCAATTCGCCTACCAGGCAGATGTTGGTGTGGAGGATGCCATCCTCTACCTGCTGCACCGGGCCCACTCCCACCTGGATAAGGGCAGTGGCACAGTGAGGATCCTTTTCTTGGACTTCTCCAGTGCCTTTAATACAATCCAGCCCCTTCTGCTCCAGGATAAACTAAACAGCATGGGAGTGGACCAGCACCTGGTCACCTGGATCCATAGTTACCTCACCAACAGGCCGCAGTATGTCAGGCTGAAGGACACCGTGTCTGACACTGTGGTCAGCAGCACAGGAGCCCCTCAGGGCACAGTGCTGGCCCCTCTTCTCTTCACCCTGTACTCCTCTGACTTCCACTACAACTCGGAGCTGTGCCACATACAGAAGTATGCTGATGACACAGCCATAGTCGGATGTATCAGGGACGACGGAGAGGAGGAATATCGCTGTCTGGTGAGGGACTTTGCTCTCTGGTGCCACACAAACCACCTGGAACTCAACACCTCTAAGACGAAGGAGCTGGTTATAGACTTTGGGAGGTCCAGACCAAAGCCGAGACCAGTCGTACTAGAGGGAACGGAGGTTGAGGTCGTGGGCTCCTACAAGTACCTCGGGCTGTGGCTGGACAGTAAACTGGATTGGTCAAAACACACCAGCCACCTGTACGGGAAGGTGCAGAGCAGGATGTACTTCCTGAGGAGACTGCGGTCCTTTAACATCTGCAGCAAACTGCTGTGGATGTTCTACCAGTCAGTGATCGCCAGTGTCCTCTTCTACACCGTGGTGTGCTGGGGAGGCAGCACATCCAAGAAGGACACGTCCAGACTGGACAAACTGATCAGGCGTGCCGGCTCTGTGGTCGGCATGAAGCTGGACTCTCTGGTGACGGTGGCAGAGGCGAGGACACTGAACAAACTGCTGGACATCATGGACGATAGCAGCCACCCTCTACATGCCGTCATCAGCAGCCAGAGGAGCCTGTTCAGTGACAGACTGCTGCTTCCCAAGTGCCGGACCAATAGATTCAAGAACTCCTTTGTCCCCCACGCCTTCAGACTGTACAACTCCTCACTGGGGGGTCGGAGGTGACACAGGACAGAGGGAAGAAGGAGTAGTGACCCCTCGTACTTTGCGTATGCTCACTATGTGCCACTTTTCTGCCTGTAAGCTGCTGGTAACTTTTAATTTCCTGAGGGAGTCTTCCCAAGGGATCAATAAAGTACAAGTCTAAGTCTAGTTTTTATTCAACACAAACAAATGACCAAAACATGAACAAATGGAGCAGCAGAACCAGAACAGAACCAGAACCGGTCTCAGTAAAGTTGTAACTCCAAAGTGACTCACTGGAGCGGCTTTCTGTTGACGGGCTCTATTATTAAACGCCATGAAAACTACAGAAATAAAAACAGCTTCAGACATAGACACGCTTAGAAAAAACAGGTGACAAGAGTGTTTCGGAGGGCAAATTAATTATCTCAACTCAACCGTCCTCTCTAAATTAAAATACAGGAGTAATTAAAACACTATAATCGATAAATTTACAAAAAATTGCAAACATAATTGGAAAATACCTGATAACCACGAGGCTGCTACCTGTAGCTTTATTCAGGCTTCTGCTCCTTTTTCTTTTTTTCTTTTCCTTTAAGTCTCGCAGTCTCTCGTACATGAAATCTCGCGACAACTCCAAACATTTCGACACGATATTCCACACAACTCTCGAACTTGAACCAAACTTAAAATACATCATCCTAATTATCAGAAATACAAGAATCTTTTCAAAACATAAATTATTTCACTAACACTTACATTCCCACCAAAATCACTTATTGGTTCTAAATGTGATTTTCCAAAGAGTGTCAAAAGTAGAAATTGTTTATAAATGTATAGATTTTCTGTTTGATATTCAAGTTTCTCAGATTATAAATTGTTTCAGATTTTGATCTAAAATGTTTATTCCTCTTTAGTTGTGACCTTGTTGGTGTTCTGCACAGTGGATGAAGGTTCGTTATATTAATGTCACCTTGAAACGTTACAGAATGCAAAACTAAATGTTTCAGAAAGAAATTAAACAAATTAAACCATTAAATACAATTCTTTAATTTCACTTACACTTTATTCAACATTTTAAAAACTGATATGATTATTCTATTTTCCAGTTCTTCCAGTTCATCTGACTGTGAGTCCCAGTAGATCCCAGTTCTTCAGAGGAGAATCAGTGACTCTGATCTGTGAGGATGAAAACAGATCAGCTGGATGGACAGTGAGGAGAAACACCAGCAGAGGAACAAGGACTGAGTGTGGAGATAAATGGGGAGAAGCTGATGGTTCTACCTGTTACATGACCTTCATGCATCCATCAGATACTGGTCTGTACTGGGGTGAGTCCATCTCATGATGTTTACAGCTGATAATGAAGCTGCTGATCAGGCAGTGAATGAAATACAGTTAGGGCCAGAAATATTTGGACAGTGACACAGGTTTTGTTATTTTAGCTGTTGACAAAAATATGTTCAGAAATACAATTTATATATAATATGGGCTGAAAGTGCACACTCCAGCTGCAATATGAGAGTTTCCACATCCAAATCGGAGAAAGGGTTTAGGAATCATAGCTCTGTAATGCAGAGCCTCCTCTTTTTCAAGGGAACAAAAGTAATTGGACAATGGACTCCAAAGGCTGCAAGTAACTCAAAAGGCCTTTCCCTCGTTAACCTGTAATCAAGTAAGTAGTTAAAAGGTCTGGGTTGTTTCCAGGTGTGTGGTTTTGCATTTGGAAGCTGTTGCTGTGACCAGACAACATGCGGTCAAAGGAGCTCTCAATTGAGGTGAAGCAGAACATCCTGAGGCTGAAAAAAAGGAAAAAATCCATCAGAGAGATAGCCGACATGCTTGGAGTAGCAAAATCAACAGTCTGGTACATTCTGAGGAAAAAGGAATTGACTGGTGAGCTTGGGAACTCAAAAAGGCCTGGGCGTCCACGGAAGACAACAGTGGTGGATGATCGCCGCATACTTTCTTTGGTGAAGAAGAACCCGTTCACAACATCAACTGAGGTCCAGAACACTCTCAGGGAAGTAGGTGTATCTGTCTCTAAGTCAACAGTAAAGAGAAGACTCCATGAAAGCAAATACAAAGGGTTCACATGTAGATGCAAACCATTCATCAATTCCAAAAATAGACAGGCCAGAGTTAAATTTGCCCAAAACCACCTCAAGAAGCCAGCCCAGTTCTGGAAAAGTATTCTATGGACAGATGAGACAAAGATCAACCTGTACCAGAATGATGGGAAGAAAAAAGTTTGGAGAAGAAAGGGAACGGCACATGATCCAAGGCACACCACATCCTCTGTAAAACATGGTGGAGGCAACGTGATGGCATGGGCATGCATGGCTTTCAATGGCA